GGTTTTTTCTCAGTTGTAAAGCACTCTGCTTTCTTTATTTCCTCCCTGATTTTAAAAATAACACGTGCTTACTATAAGTCTTACATTATAGAAAATGCAAAAGCTGAAAATTTCCCCAGAATCCCAGCCTCAGAAATGACTACTACTCTCTGGTAAATATCCTGCCAGACTTTTTTTTTGTATATAGGAGTAAATGAACAGGACCGAGTGGAACTCTGAGACTCCCAGAACACACGCTCTTCTGCCCTTGTGCAAGATGTCAAGCAGTCCTGACAAATAACTGACCAGTTTCTCCAGAGAGCAGCACACATTTGTTTTCAGAGAAGATTCAACCACACAGTGGGTGGGAAAGCCTCAAAGAATTTCTAACTATTCAATATTAAATATTGTTCAAAGTATTAGAGGTGAAATAAAGTTTAAAAAAACAGGAAATAAAGAATAATGGTTTGGGTACAGAGGAGAAAACCATTCAGGGAGAGAAGGAAGAAGAAACACTCGCTTGTTCCACAGAAACTGTGAACAAAGCAGCAGTGATGACCTCAGGCAGTGGGCACTTGTAACCGCTCCTCCCGGGTCCTCTAAAAAGGTGGCTTGTCTGGAAAGTCGGAGAGGGGCCCCAAATAAAGCAGCCTCGGGAGGTTCTGGGTTCTTCTAAGACAGCCTTGTTCTTGGTGCCCGGAGGGGACTGGCACAGCCGGCCACAGCCGCCCCGCGGGCCCTGCCCCTCCGCAGCCAGGCCGAGCAGCGCTGGAGACAGCCCGGGCTCAGGGCGGGCGGGAGCTAACGCTTCTGTTTCACAGATGAGGACAGTGACTCCAAATGACCCAGCAGTCCCACTTCTGGGTCCACACCCAAAAGCAGGGAAAGCAGGGTCTCCAAGAGATGTTTGCACACCGGTGTTCGCAGCAGCATTATTTATAGTAGCCAGGAGGTGGGGGCACCCCCAGTGTCCATCCTCAGATGACGCATAAACAAAATGTGGTCTAGACCTAGCATGGGATATTACTTGGGCTGAAAGGGGAAATTCTGACAAAGGCTGTAACTCGGATGAACCCTGAAGACCTGATGCTCAGTGAAACAAGCCAGACACATAAGGACACGCAGTGGCTGATGGCACTGGCGTGAGGTCCCCCGAGTGGTCAGGCTCACAGAGACAGGCAGTGGGCTGTGGGTGCGGGACCAGGGCTGGAGAAGGGGTGTTCATGTTTGATGGGGACAGAGCGTCAGTAGGAGATGGATGGTGGCGATGGCTGCACAGCAACGTGAATGTGCTGAGCACCACCCAGCCACTTAGAAAGGGTTAACATGGTAAATTTCATACTCTGTGGTTTTTTTTTAACCATTATTAAAAAGGTTTTTTAAGAATGTAAGCGGAGAGTTAGGGTGTAGTCAGAGAAACAAACTGGTGAATTCTGCCTGAACAGGAGGGAAGCCTCTCTGAGGAGGGACGGGGGGCAGAGGGCACGATGACCGTCTACACAGAGGTCTCCGGGATCTTTCACCCGCTGCTCCCTGGCTGCCCACCCCCACCCCCTCCACCTTGTGGGGCTGCTCTCCTGCAGTCACCCCCTTGTGTGACCTCACGAATCTACACTCCTCGGGGAGTGGAGCTCCTGCCTCGTCACCTGGCCCGGAGCCGGGCAGCAGAGAGCACGAGGAAAGGTCCTCCTTCCTGATTCGTGGTGGCACCACCACCAAGCCCTGCAAACCCGGCCTTTCAGGTTGTCGCCGGCTGCGTGAGCCCCGCCGCACACCTGCTGGCAGCAAGCCGTCCTGCTGGGGCCAATTTCAAAGATTTGCCCCCAGCGTGTGCCCTTCTTTGCTAACTTTGCAAACTTGATGTCACTTGTCCTCAGAACATAATACTCAGGCTGCCAAAAGGCAGGCCAGTATAACAAAGGGACATCCTGATGTTGCGTCTCAGGAAAGGCCCCGTCTTGGATGAAATGAGCAGACCAGACACAGCCAGTTGCTCCCATCTGTCTGCTGCCTCGTCTGGAACAGCCACCAGCTGGGAGCCACGTCGGGCACAGGGAACGGGCTCTGTTCACAGCTCTCGGTCTAAGCTATGCCTCTCATCCAGGCACCCTGAAGGAGGCATGATGCCTGGACATTTTACACACGTTCGGCCATCTCAAGTAACTGGCCTCAAATCAGACACACTGATCCGATTTTTAAAGGTTCCCTTCTGCCCTCCCGCTCCATGCAGAGCGAGCCAGGCACATTGCGGACCCTCAACCTGCCCCATCCCTCTCCCCTCCGTGCCCAGAGCCTGGTCAAGTCCCAGGCAAACCCACGCCACGGGCCAAGATTTTCAGTCCCATCTGCAACCACCCGAGTGCCAGGCTCTCCCACAAGTGCTCGGAGTCCGGAGTTAGCCGAGAGCTCCAGGCACACTTCCTGCCCCTGCAGGTTGACCACCTCCTAAGGATGGACCTGGGCCAACACATGATCCCTGTGGCCACTTGGGCTCCACGCGGGACCCGTGGCAAGCGCGGGTCTGGTGGGCATCCCTGGACGCCGAGTGAGGGTACAGAGGATACGGAACCCGGCTTTATTTCCTTAACATTCGTTTCAGGTCCTGAGAGCTTAAGTAAATTGCTGGCTACCAGTCAACTCCAACAGAATGAGAGCCAAGGACGCTGACACTGACGCCGGAGTCAGTCCAGGGGCCCCCACACCAGCACGATCATTCCTCTACAGACACTCGCCCCTGTCCTGGGAGCACATTTGCACGAAAGTCACATCACAACCAGCAACTGCCGTCATCCCTGCATGGGGAAGGCAAACGAAACTTGACTGGCAGAACACAGGGAAGGGGGTCCCCAGCAGCCAACAGGGGCGGGGAACAAGCTTCCCAAGTTAACATTTAAAAACAGACAGAAAACGTGTCCAGGCACTTTCCTGAAACAGGCATTGCTAACACAGGGGAGGGAGAGCTTTTTGGAACACGTTAGAGAACGGCTATCTGTATTCTACGTCCTTAGTGTCTCAGTGATGAATGGAGTGTGCTGGGTGGGACGGGGCCCTGGGGACTGGTGTCTGACAGCGGAGCCCAGGTCCCCACGTATGATTCGTCCAGGAGAACTTCTCCTTTAGTTTATTATCCTCCTGCCATCAAAGTGGTTGGGACTTTAAAAATGCAGTGTACCGAGCTCTGATGTTCAGTTTCTTGTAATGAGCCATAATGGAAAAGAAACTGGAAAAATATAAATGTATGTATGTATATGTATAACTGAATCGCTTTGCTATACACCTGAGACTAACATTGTAAATCGACAACACTTCAATAAAAGGTAAGAATTTTTTTAAATGCAGCCTGTGGAGCTCTGAATGGGTGCCACAGGAGAAGTCACTTACTGAGCTGGCCACGGCGGAAAGGGCTATGAAGCGTTTCCCTCTCCCACCTGCGCACCAGCTACCCTCCTACATGACACCGGCAAGTAGCCAGCCCCAGTCCCGAGCTCCTCTCTGACAACGTTCTCCGAGCTGGCTCAGAGCTCAGAGAAGCCCTCATGTGAGGCCCTTTGGAGGAGGAAAGGGTTGAGGATTCCAACGTGGGATTCTGGCTCTCAGCAGAATGGTGGCCGTCACCCGCATAGAAGCACGCGCTCAAACACACCGACCCACCAACACTTCTCTGGACCTTCCCGTCCGTCCTCTCACCCCTCTGCACCACCTTTCATGGTGAGAAACTGATTTAGGTTGTAAGGCCCCTTTCCCAGGATCACACTGGGTGGGTGGTGGGGCTTGGCTTCATCCAACACTGGAACCTCCCCAGGGTCTCTCCAGTGGCTGATATGTGATCACGCGCATGTGTACATGTGGGAAGGAGGGCGGCTGCACGGCGAGTCTGCAGACCCCGCCTTCAGTGTGAGCCACGGAACACCCCTCGGAGGACAAAACTGCGTCTCTAATTCAACTGCAGTTCTGAACTCCCAGCTATTGAGCCATGATAATGTGCTGTTTCAGGCGACTTCAAGGAAAAACTCATTGCCGACTTGCCTTCTAATTCAATTTTTTCTACCCAATTATAATGAACATTTACCACTATTAAGTTATTTTCTTGCACAACAACGTGGATGCACTTAAGCCACCAACTTGTATACTTAAAAAATGGCTGTGATGGTAAATTTTATGTTATATACATTTTACCAAAATTTTTTAAAAGTTATTTTCTTTCTAAAATACTTAACATGAGGACAAGATGGTATTCCTCTGGGGAATACGTGAATTAAAACCCACATGTGGAATTACATGGATTACATTATCACTAAACGTAATTCAAGTTGCTTCTGCCCCAGTTACCTCTGACCTACTGGGCAACCGTTGCTCCATCCCAGGGCCACTTCTCAACCCTCGTCTTGCATCACTGGACACTCACTGGCCCCTTCTTCGCGCCCTGGGTATCAGGCTTTTCCGATTTCCCACTGACCAACCACTCGGCCCCCTCCTTCCCACCCCCCCACTGTGCCCCTACCTCCACCCATTCATTCCTCATGTTACACAGGCTCTGGGCAAACCCAGCCACTCCACAGCCTGTAACTGCTACCCTGATGCAGAGGACACAGACTTGGCTCCTGAACTTCTGAACAGCCAACCACCTGCTAAATCAATCCCTCAGATGCCCCTAAGGCACCACCAACTCGTCCTGTCTGGAACCGAAGCTGCCATCTTCCCCCTGTAAACCAGCCAGAGGAAGGGAGAAGCCAGTGACTTCAAAATCTACGGGCTTTGGAATCATAATGCCTGGGCTGCATCTCCCGCCACAGCATTTGGAGGAACACCTGTCCAGGTGCCCAAGCTGTCACCTGGTCCCGCCCTGGCCCGCCTCCATTCGTTGGTCATCTGGGCTTGGATTCCTCCTCCTCAACGTCTCTCCTCCTCCATGGCCACGGCCTTCATCCAAGCTCTCCCTCCTCACCCAGATACTACAACAGCGTCCAGCTTTCAGCTTGGCCTTCTTCCTTGGTCTGCTCTCTGCTGCCCCAGCCTGAGCAATGGCCCCAAGACATGCATCTGAAACTGCACCTTCCGTGCTTGAGACCCTGCAGCAGCCTGGCACTGTCCCAAGGTCATGGAGGACAGAACCTTTGTGCATTTTCCCCAAGCCTCCTTCCCAGGCTTAGAGACTCATGATTCAGAGTCTGGGCTCCACCCAGTCTCTAGTCACTCACAATACCCAGGATGCACTGGGCTCCTCTGGTCCCTAGTCAGTCACCCGCAGTACCCAGGATGCAC